TTAATGTTTCTTTATTTGGAGAGGGAGAGAGAGAGAGAAAGAGAGAGAGAGCATGATCAGAGGAGGGGCAGAGAGAGAGGGAGACACAGCATCCGAAGCAGGCTCCAGGCTCTGAGCTGTCAGCACAGAGCCCGATATGGGGCTCAAACTCACCAAACGTGAGATCATGACCTGAGTGGAAGTCAGATACTCAACTGACTGAGTGACTCAGGGGCCCCAAGAACACAAAAATTCTAATTTGAAAAGATATATGCACCTCTGTTTATTGCATTATTTACAACAGTCAAAATATGGAAGCAGCCCAGGGTCCATCGATAGACGAATGGATAAAGGAACTGTGGTATAAGGGCGCCTGGGTGATTCAGTCAGTGGGCATCCTACTCTTAATTTCACCTCAGGTTATGAACATGGAGTTGTGGGATCAAGCCCCAAGTTGGGCTCCACACTGAGCATACAGCCTGTTTGGGATTCTCTTTCTCCCTCCCTTTGCCCCTCTCCCCTGCTTGTTTTCTCTCTCTCTCTCAAAAAAACAAACAAACAGAAATTGTGCTGTATATATATATACAATGGAATATTGCTCAGCCATAAAAAAAAAAAGAATGAAATCTTGGGGTGCCTGTGTGGCTCAGTTGGTTGAGCATCCAACTTCAGCTCAGGTCATGATCTCGCAGTTCATGAGTTCAAGCCCTGGGTCAGGCTCTGTGCTAACAGCTCAGAGCTTGGAGTCTGCTTTGGATTCTGTGTCTCCCTCTCTCTGCCTGCTCATGCTCGCTCGCTCTCTCTCTCTCAAAAATAAATAAACATTAAAAGAATTTTTTTAAAGAATGAAACCTTGCCATTTGCAACAACATAGATGAAGCTAAGAAGTATAATGCTCAGTGAAATAAGAAAAACACCATATGATTTCACTCATATGTGGAATTTAAGAAACAAAACAAAAGAACAAAGGGGAAAAAAAGAGACCAAAAAAACCAGACTCTTAAACTATAGAGAACAAACTGATGGTTATCAGAGGGGAGGTGGTTGGGGAGATGGGTGAAATAGGTGATGGAGATTGTAAGTACCCTTATCGCGATGAGCCCTGGGTGATGTATGGAATTGCTGGATCATTACGTGAAACTAATATAACACTGTATGTTAACTATAATGGATATAAACTAAAATTTAAAAAATAAGATTTTTTAATGAAATAAAATAATAAATAAAAAAGAAATTATTATTATTTAGATGTTATAATTAGTTTTATGGTTATGTTTTTTTTTAATCTTTATCTTTTAGGGCTACATACTAAAATATTATAGATGAACTGATGTGACATATACAATTTGCCTTAAAACAACACAGAATGAGGGAAAGTAGACAGGAATATAAGTAGAGCAAAACTGGCCAGGGGTTAATGATTACTGTAACTGGGTGATGATTACATGGGGGTTCATTATATTAGCCTATTTTTGTGTGTGTTCAAAATTCTAATAAAAAGTTTTAAAAATTGTGGTAATGGTAAGTGAGAAAACACAAATCAATCCTTCCAGTACAGACTATTAGAAAAATCTGGACAAGTAATATTAAAGACATACGTTTTGAGGCACAGAGGGATACCCAGATATTAAAAATTTTCTGGCCATATACTGGGCGAAGATGAAAGCCCAGAGAAAAGAGGCCAGCATCTGGGGACACTTTTCCTCTGAGGTCATTTGCCAGATCTTGAGGGGATATGACTCAGAGCAGTTCCCTTGACAACCTCACTGGTCTAGAGAAACCCAGACTGGAGTCCAGATCCCACCCACAGTTGCCCTATAGAACACCACTTGAGCTGGAAACCCAAAGGGCTAAAACACAGGAATAAAAGAGTTAGAAGTACATAGCCTTTGAAGGGTTTGCAACGCAGCTTTGAACGTTGCCAAAACTTAAATTGGACTGAGGTGATTCTGGATCACTAGCATATGCAGAAACCTGGACAAATAAAGAGAAGTCTTCTGCACAGAAAGATACCATTGTCCTACACCTTCAAATTATTTCTATAAAAAAATTTAGCCAACACTATCTGGCACAAAATTGTAACAAACCAAACATCCAAGTAGATCTGGCAATAAATAAATGAAAACCAGCAAAAATAATAGGCAATATAAAAGAATTATTCACCATGATCTAGTGGGATTCATTCCTGGGCTGTGGGGCTGGTTCAACATTTGCAGATCAATCAATGTGATACATCACATTAGTACAAGAAAAGATAAAACCATATGATCCTGTCAATCGATGCAGAAAAAGCATTTGACAAAATTCAGCATCGTTTCTTAATAAAAACCCTCGAGAAAGTCGGGATAGAAGGAACATACTTAAACATCATAAAAGCCATTTATGAAAAGCCCACAGCTAATATCATCCTATATGGGGAAAAACTGAGAGCTCTCCCCCTGAGGGAAACACGACAGGGATGTCCACTCTCACCGTCGTTGTTTAACATAGTGTTGGAAGTGCTAACATCAGCAATCAGACAACAAAAGGAAATCAAAGGCATCAAAATTGGCAAAGATCAAGTCAAGCTTTCACTTTTTGCAGATGACATGATACTATACATGGAAAACCCCATAGACTCCACCAAGTCTGCTAGAACTGATATATGAATTCAGCAAAGTCGTAGGATACAAAATTAATGTACAGAAATCAGCCGCATTCTTATACACTAATAATGAAGCAACAGAAAGACAAATAAAGAAACTGATCCCATTCACAATTGCACCAAGAAGCATAAAATACCTAGGAATAAACCTAACCAAAGATGCAAAAGATCTGTATGCTGAAAACTATATAAAGCTTATGAAAGAAATTGAAGATACAAAGAAATGGAAAAACATTCTGTGCTCATGGACTGGAAGAATAAATATTGTTAAAATGTCACTACTACCCAAAGGTATCTATACATTCAATGCAATCCCAATCAAACTAGCACCAGCATTCTTCTCGAAGCAGAAGAAGCAATCCTAAAATTTGTATAGAACCACAAAAGACCCCAAATGGCCAAATTAATATTGAAGAAGAAGACCAAAGCAGGAGGCATCACAATCCCAGACTTTAGCCTCTACTACAAAGCTGTAATCATCACGACAGCATGGTATTGGCATAAAAGAATTTTTTTAAATAAAAATTTAAAAAAATAATAATAGGCAATATAAATGCAAGAAAAATTCAGACCTTGGGGTTATGGTAACTTTAAAGTAACTCTGCTTACTATTTTCAAGGAACTAAATGCAAGATTATAAAACTTCAAAGAAAACTGGAAATTGTAATGAAAGGATCAAATGGAGATTTGGGAAATAAAAAGTACTACAGTGTAAATAAGAATTCAGTATCTAAATTTAATAGCAGGTTAGATACAACTGAAAAAAATAGTGAGTAGAAAGATAGGTCAGAATCATACACCCAAAATAAAGCACACAAAGACAAAATATAAAAAATATAGACAAGAGGGTAAGAATCATAGCACAGATAAGGAATTGGTCTAACATACCTGTAAGTGGAGTTATAGAAGGAAAGTAGTGGGAAAAAAGCAATATTAGAATAAATAATGACTAAAAAATATCCACAACTGATAAAGGGTCATTAAACAACAGACTCAAGAAGCCCAGCATGTGCACGAGGTGGACACCCACATGAGAAAGAGGACAGCAATGGCAAGGAGACAGATCACATATAGGAAGGTAGATCAAAGAAGTATCTCCCCTGTTAGATAAAGGAATTACAAATATGAAAAGAGAGAAATCCTGAACGAACTGTGTTGTGTTAGACTGCAATTAAAGGTACTGGTGTGGGGGCGCCTGGGTGGCGCAGTCGGTTAAGCGTCCGACTTCAGCCAGGTCACGATCTCGCGGTCCGTGAGTTCGAGCCCCGCGTCAGGCTCTGGGCTGATGGCTCAGAGCCTGGAGCCTGTTTCCGATTCTGTGTCTCCCTCTCTCTCTGCCCCTCCCCCGTTCATGCTCTGTCTCTCTCTGTCCCAAAAATAAATAAACGTTGAAAAAAAAAAAATTTAAAAAAAAAGGTACTGGTGTGAACACAGATTACTTAGCTCTGTCCACTCAGAGGGACATTTGGGCATACATACCACCCAGACCCTAGCTTCTAAATATTATTCTCCACTAAAAAGGAACAGGACTCCTGGGAGAAATGGCTGATTCCAAGACTGAGGCAAAGAAAGTAGATGGGCCTGGAATACCTCTGTGCTAGAAAACAAGGAGGTGCTCAAAAAATAACAGTGATGTGTCAAAATGTCACAGAAGTGTACTCAAACAGGATTCCTGAGTGCATCAAAATAAAAAAATCACAGTAAAAGAAGATAACCCATTGGATAAAATAGGAAACCATGAATCTAAACTGAAATAAATAAATTGAAAGTTAGATGACGATGGGATATGTACATGATTTCACAGTACTGCCCCACAAATACTTGTTGATCACAAAAGGAAAATAACAATTTCAGAGTGAAAAAGGCTGGCAGCTATCACCTTAAAAATCATAAGTAATGGGGGGCGCCTGGGTGGCGCAGTCGGTTAAGCGTCCGACTTCAGCCAGGTCACGATCTCGCGGTCCGTGAGTTCGAGCCCCGCGTCAGGCTCTGGGCTGATGGCTCAGAGCCTGGAGCCTGTTTCCGATTCTATGTCTCCCTCTCTCTCTACCCCTCCCCCATTCATGCTCTGTCTCTCTCTGTCCCAAAAATAAATAAACGTTGAAAAAAAAAATTAAAAAAAAAAAATCATAAGTAATGGGACACATTAAAACTGTATACTACTTGATGGCTGTCAAAGTTCATGAAAGTTAAAGAGAGACCAAGGAAACTTTCCAGACTAAAGAGTCCCAGAGAGACAAACTAAATGCAATCTGTGATTCTCAAATGGGCAATTATCAGGATAGTTAGGGAAACTTAAATGGGTTTTAATGATTAGATGGTAGCAACATGCCAAAGTTAATCTCCTGATTTCGGTGGTTGTGCTGTGATTATACAGGAGAACATTCCTATTTGGAGGAATGGAGGGAAAATACCCTAAAATAATCAGGGGAGATGGGTCATTAGGATCGCAATTCACTCACAAATGGTTCAAGAAAAAAAGTTCTTTACACTGTACTTGCAACTTTTTAAAAAGTTTAATTTGTTTCAAAGTTAAAAAACAAAAAATTTAGGAGTGCCTGGGTGGCTCATTCGGTTAAGCATCTGACGGTTTCAGCTCAGGTCATGGTCTTATGATCCGTGGGTTCAAGTCCCAAATTGGGCTCTGTGCTGGCAGATCACAGCCTGCTTGGGATTCTCTCTCTCTCTCCCTCTCTCCCTCTCCCTCTGCCCCTCCCCTGCTCATGCTCTCTCTCCCTCTCAAAAAATAAAAAATAAAAAAAACTCTTGGAAAACTTTTAGAAAAAAAAGAGAATACCCTTAATCTGCTAAGGCAATGTTTCTCAAAGCTGGTCCAAAGACTGGGTCCAGTTCTCAAATTGTTACTGGTATGTAAGGAGATAGAAACAGAAATGAGAGTTTTAAAAACTTTTATAACAATATGACCAGTGATTTTATATCTTTTGAATTCGTAAAAAGAATTTGAGCTTATAATTAAGACGTCTTTCTCATTTTTCTAGTAATTCATCTTTTTTTTTTTAAGATTTTATTTTTAATCTCTACACCCAAGGTGGGGCTCAAACTCACAGCCCCAAGATCAAGAGTCGCATGCTCCTCCAACTGAGCTAGCCAGGCACCCCTAATTTATCTTTACTTTATCAAGGTTTTGGTTTGCCATAGATTGGAATTTTTTTTTAAAACCTGGTCCTATATTTTTGCTATATTTTTATAAGTGTGTGATAAAGAATATTTATTAAAAACAAACACTATTGCAAATATCATACCTAATGGTAAAATGTTGAAGCTTTCCTCTGGGGACAAGATTAAATACTGCTAGCACTTTAATTTAATATGGTACCAGAGGTCCTGGTAAGTGCAGAAAGGCAAGAGGAAAAAAGGTTTAAGAATTAAATTAAAAAAAAAAAAGAATTAAAAAAAAAAACATGTAGATTGAACACACAGAATATTAAAAAAAATTTTTTTCAGAAACCCAATTACCTACCTCCAACACCTTCTACTTTGCACCTATCCCTTTATGTTAAGATAAAGGCCAAGGCAAAAACATAATACTGTCCTTTTCTCACTTAGATAATACTTCAGACCCTATAACCACTAGCCTCGGATGTGTGCTTTGGGCAGAACTTTGTACGTTTCAGATTTGAACTTAATCTGTCATCTAATTAATAAACTTTTTAATGGAAGGTAATGGGCTACCCCCTTCCTTTCCTTTGATTTAGACAACTCTCAAGTTTCAGCTCACAATTCTGAACTAGAAGTGTAAGTTCTTATATTTTCATATTTCCTATGGCACCCTGAATAGTACAGGCATCTAGTAGGTACTCAATAAATTCCCAGAGAATTGGTTTCAAAGCAGAAACCACTTTCCACTTTGGAATCACATTCACAGAATGTATGAGCCCAAAGATGGAAGTACACAGACACGTATATAGGTAGGCAGGCAGGCAGATAATGTAAATAAATGAAGAAAGCAAATGTTTAAAAAACTAAAAGTAAAAAGTTTGCTGTAATGCCATCAGAGAGTAGTAAGGGGAATAATAATTCAGTGTGACTATTCAGAGTCTTAGCTTCCAAGGCTGGTTCTGTACAACTTAAGTTCAAGGCTCCTTCATTGAGAAATGGGAGGAATGTTGACCTTTATTTGTCATGATTTGAGAAAATGCCAATCAACTTTAAGAAACATGTAACCCAAAGGATCTAAGAGACTTTTTGCTGGGTTAGAATTATTTCCTACCAACCATCCACCCTCCCCCTGAGGGTTCACTCCATGAAGGTATCCAAAAGAGCCCTGAGATTTTAGTCCAGTTCCTGTCACTGACCTTGGGTATATGACCCAAGCTGAATGACTATGCATAAGTTCCTACCTTCTCCGGGTTTCAGGTGCAATGCCAATCAAAAAATCTATGATCACAGGTCTCCCTGATGTACAGGATTCTGTCCCACTCATCTCCTCCTATTCTAGGCAATGTTCCCAGTTCCAACCATGCCCCAGTGAGCTGTGTGATTTGGGAATATCCCCTAGCTTCTTGTAGCTTCATTTTAGCCTTTGTGCAATGGGAACAACTGGACTGTGTCTGAGGTTTCCTCTACTTCCCCACCACACACACACACACACACACACATTAAAATAAAACACAAAGGTGAGAAACTGTGACACTACTGCATCAACGCCTGGTCTGCCCTCAAAGTATTGTTTTACACAGAAATACATATCCACACAGTTTTACAGAGTAAACTCCACTGGCTCTTAGGAAAGCAAATGGCATTTTTGTTGTTTCCAGGCTGCTGTTTATGATGGAACATTTAGGAAAAGACAAAGGTAGCAGAATCAGTGACTGGTACACCTCCACTGGTCATGCCCTGGTCAAAGAAGAGACCAACTCTTGATGTCTGATATAACTCTCTTCTGTCAGGATTTAAATTAGCATATCTCTGAAGGAATAGGAGCATAGAATTTGAGTGTTATTTTTATAACGGCCTGAAAGGGTAAAAACTTCCTCCACAAAAGAACACAACTGTTTCTACATAATATTAAGATCTAGCCTAATGGAATAAAGCAAATGGTACCAAACACCAAGTATCAGCACTCAATGAGGAAGCAGTTCTGACCCGTGCTATGTGTGACATCTCCTCATTTCCCTATCACCACCAGTGGAAGAGAAAGTACTCAGAAAAGGAGAATGCCTGACCTGGGAGTCAGTCCAGGCCCTGCTGGACCTGGCACCACAGACCCAACCTTATGCCATGCCACTTTCCCTCTCCTCCACCATGCTTTAGACACATTGGTCTCCTTGTAATCACCCAGCCCTTCTCTCAGGGCTTTTGCTCACGGTGCTGCTTCTACCTGAGTCACTCTTCCCCTTGCTACACCATTCTTCACGTGACTGGCTTCTGAATCTCCTCACATAAGTGTTTCCTGACCACGCTATGCAGATGGACTGCCTACACTGCCCAATGCGCTTTTCCATCATGACATCTATTTATTTTTTATTAGCTTTTTATCACTACTTTAATTGTTTGTTTTCTGCCTCACCCCCCACAAGACTATAAGCCTGCCTCTGAGGGCAGGATTGTCTTTTTTGTTTATTTCTATATATCCAGCATCTAGTACAGCAGGTGGCACATAGTAAGTATTCACTATACATCTGTTAAATGAATCAGTGACCATTAGGAAAGCTTCTCAGAATTCAGTTTGGTCTCAGACTTCCAGGACCACAGTGGCTCACCTTGTACATAGGGCCCCATCTCTGGGTGCTCCCTGACCCGCAGACTGTAGGACTTTTTTTGATCAGATTGCTTCAGTAGATCCCGCACTCGTTCATTATAGATTTCCAGAAAACTAAAGACATGTAGAACAAGGCACGTAATTACATTTTGAAAAATGGGGACATCTTTTCAAAATTACATTGTGAAAAAAGGCAATATATTAGATTTGGAAAAAAGTAGGGGAAACACTAAGCCAAGAATCAGAAGGTTCTAATTCTTGATCTAGTTCTACCTCTGACACTCTAAGACCTTGACCATGCCAAGGAGCCCCACTGAGTCTCTTTCTACATGTGCACAATTGTGCTGCTAGCGTTAGCTGTCATCACTTGACAGTCTTGGGTTTACAATGTCAGCGCTGACTCAAATTTAGCCTTCAAGAGGCTATTTCAGCATGGTTTTAGGATGCTGCCACCAGCCTATATCTTGATCAGGCCACCATACCGCAAAGTCTAAAGGCTTATTTCTTAAGTGATTTCCAAACATGATCTTTGAGCTCTTATTATTCTATGATGGCATCTTGAGAGCCAGTGTTGAGCAATGAGGACAGTTAAATGAATAAGATTCTGGTCCCTACCCCTAATTTAAGTAGGACAATTCTCATTTCACCTGTTTTATACACAGCAATTCCGGTTAATATATGCTGTATCTTATAGGTATCTACTAGCATGTCATTCCTTTTCAAAATAATAACATAGCTGGGCATCTGGCTGGCTCAGCTGGCAGAGTATACAACTCTTGATCTTGGGGTTGTGAGTTCAAGCCTCATGCTGGATGTACAGATTATTTAAAAATAAAATCTATAAAATAATAACAAAATAGCTACAATTCTTAATTAAAATCAGCAAAGATTTTGTTAAATAAGAAAACATAATTTGGATGTAAATTTTAATAAATAAAAAAATTTAAAAAAAGAAAAAGAAAACAAACTTCTCACAGAAAGGTCTTCCTCATCAGAACACAGTTGTTTGCCTGTGAAGCCGGTGACCAGAAAAAAAGGCTCCAGATCAGAGCTGAACACTATGCACATTCTTATAAACTGTTTCTTCTTAACCTTCCCAGATTTGGACACAGGAATCCCAGATGTCTCTCAGAGTAGTGGTTCCCAGATTTCACGGCCAATAAAACATTTAATATACATGTACATGCTCACAGACACACATATACATGTCTAAAAATTTTACTTTGCAAACTTAAAAAAATGTATAATGTTCACTATCATTTAATTTTTAAAAAGGGCATTTATTCTTTTTGGGATGATGAAATGTTCTGGAATTAGTAAGGATGACTGCACAACCTTGTAAATATAAAAAAAAAAATCACTGAACTATACACTTTAGAGGCATGAATTTTATGGTATATGAATTATATCTCATGTTTTTTAAAAAGGACACTGAACACCAAAAAAACAGAATACCAAAAATTAAGGGCAATTGGTAACCTTGCACCAACATTTTCGCTACAGGCTGGTTAAAACTTCATATGGGAGTAATCAGCACTGTCTTGGAACTAGAGCTTAGGAACTACTGACCCAAAGAACAACCTACTGGAGCTGGAAGAGGAATTCCAACAGCTGGTATTAAACTGTAAGGAAAGTGAAGAAAAGGAACCCAGATAGCCAGGGCAAGCTGGTCCACAGGAAACACCTGTTTAAGCCTGGGGATAGGAATTAAGATTCCTACAACCCAAAGATCTAAGTATGTTTCTCATCGCTCTATACTGCAAAATATTTCTGCTGTGACTTTTCTCCATTCCTCTAGATGACTCTTGAAGCAAAGAGAGGACAGCTGAACATGCTACAATTTGGAGTAGAAACGGAAATATCTTAGGCCCTAGGGCCTGACAGGTTCTTACCTTACTTTTATCCTACAAGAGGAAGGCAGTGGGGCATAGTCTTCCTCCCTGATGAAGAGACCCTGCACAAACCAGAGGGTTGGAGTTCACTGAAGGGAGTGTACAAAGGAGGTGTACTTTGAGAGGATCTAGTCAAAATAGAATCTATACCTCACATATCCGTGGCGTCAACCCAACAGAGGCCTAGAGAAGAGAAGAAAGGAAAGCATTACTGTTCACTTACAGTGAAGCTCTCCCACAACAACCAGGAACCAAGGTTGGCAGGGGGATGGGCACATGGGTTCCCTGTGCTACCTCTTCGTTTTAGGCAGGTTCACTGGAAGTATGTAGAAGATTCTATTTGCCTGTGCTCTCAGGAGACACTCACGGGAGGAATGTACCAGCTGAGAGGCAGATCACCACCGTAAGAAGAAAGAGTGGAGAAGCTAACAAACACAGGTACCTGCTTTCATGCAATAAAGATTACATCCTTCTTGGATAAACCTATTTACCACGGTGGGCCCTCCCAAAACACTTCTATCCCTACACATAGAGAACTAGAATACATGGGTGTTTAAAATATACATTTAGGGGGCACCTGGATGGCTCAGTTGGTTGAATGAAAATTTTGGTTCAGGTCATGACCTCACAGTTCGTGAGTTCATGCCCCACATTGGGCTCACTGCTTTCAGTGCAAAGCCCACTTCGAATCCTATCTCCCTCTCTCTCTGCCCCTCCCCTGCTTGAGCTCTCTCTCAAAAATAAACAAACATTAAAAAAATTAAAAAATAAAATAAAATGCACATGGGGGGTCTGGATGGCTCAATGGGCTAAGCATCTGAATCTTGATTTCGGCTCAGGTAATGATCTCCCAGTTCGTGGGATCCAGCCCCACGATGGGCTCTTCATTGACAGTGCAGAGCCTGCTTGAAATTCTCTCTTCCTCTCTCACTGCCCATCCTCCCACACTCTCTCTCAAAATAAATAAATTAAAAAATAAAATAAAATAAAGCACACATTTAGGGAAAAGTAGCTTCTTTTTTCATTGTAGACCCATTGTTAACATGTATGTAGGTTAAAGCTTTTATACCCGTGGTGTAGTCGGCATTTTCTTTTAATTTCAAATACATAAAGTCACACTAAACACAGACATAGTAGCAATGCGCTGAGCCCAAGGCAGCAGGGGTAATCTTCTTTTTTTAATGTTTTTTTTTTTTTTAGGTTGTCTTTCTACTTTATTATTTTTAGCACAAAAATGTTTACTTTTAAGGAAGTCCAATTTATCTGTTTTTTTTTTCTTGCCACTTGTGATTTTGGTGCAGTATATCTAAAGTCATTGCCTAATTCAACATCACAATGATTTACTTCTATTTTGTTTTGTTTTCCAAAAAAACCCTACAATTTTAACACTTAAATTTAGATCTATGAATGATGTTGAATTACTTGTAGTTATGAGGTAGAGTTCTAGCATCTTTCATTTGCATGAGTGTATCTAGTTGTCCCAGCAACATTTTTTGAAAATACTATTCTTTGCCCATTGGATTGTCTTGGCACACTTGTGGAAAGTTTAAAAGTTTGTTTTTCTATTTTCTTCCATTGATTTATATGTCAATCCTTATAAGAGGTCCACACAACCTTAGTTTATCTTTCTAGTAAATGATGAAGTCAAGGAGTATGAAACCTCCAAAATTGTTCTTTTTCAAAATTGTTTTGGATGTCCTGAGACCCTTTAATTTGCATATGCATTTTAAGATCAGCTTCCCAATTTCCACAAAAAAAAAAATGGTAGCTGGATTTTTTCTTTTAATTTCTTTTTTAAAATTTACATCCAAATTGGTTAGCATACAGTGTAATAATGATTTCAGGAGTAGAATCCAGTGATTCATCCTCTACATATAACACCCAGTGCTCATCCCAACAATTGTCTTCTTTAATGCCTCTTGTTCATTTAGCCCATCCCCCCACGCACAACCCCTCTGGCAACCCTCAGTTTGTTCTCTATATTTAAGAGTCTCTTATGGTTTGTCCCCCTCCCTGTTTTTATATTATTTTTGCTTCCATTCCCTTACATTCATCTGTTTTGTATCTTAAATTCCACATATGAATGAAGTCATATGATATTTCTTTCTCTAATTTTGCTTAGTATACCTTCTAGTTCCATCCACATTGTTGCAAATGGCAAGATTTCATTATTTTTGATTGCCAAGGAATATTCCATTGTGTGTGTGTGTGGTATGTGTGTGTATATGTGTATATGTATATATATATATCCACACACACATCTTCTTTATCCATTCATCTATCAATGACATTTGGGATCTTACCATACTTTGACTATTATCGATAGTGCTCCCATAAACATTGGGGTGCATGTGCCCCTTTGAAACAGCACACATGTATCCTTTGGATAAATACCTAGTACTCCAATTGCTGGGTCATAGGGTAATTCTATTTTTAATTTTTTTGACGAACCTCCATACTATTTTCCAGAGTGGCTACACCAGTTTACATTCCCATCAACAGTCCAAAAGGATTCCTTTTTATCCGCATCCTCACCAACATCTGTTGTCGCCTGAGTTGTTAATTTCAGCCATTCTGACTGGTGTGAGGTGGTATCTCATTGTGGTTTTGATCTGTATTTACCTAATGGTGAGTGATGTTGAGCATTTTTTCATGTATTTGTTGGCCATCTGGATGTCTTCTTTGGAAAAGTGTCATGTCTTTTGCCCATTTCTTCATTGGATTATTTGTTTTTTGGGGGTGTTGAGTTTGATAAATTCTTTATAGATTTTAGATACTAACCCTTTACCTGATATGTAACTTGCAAATATCTTTTCCCATTCTGTTGGTTGCCTTTTAGTCTTGCTGTTTCCTTCCCATGCAGAAGTTTTTTTTATCTTGATGAGGTCCCAAGAGTTCATTTTTGCTTCTGTTTCCTTTGCCTCCAAGAGGTGTTGAGTAAGAAGTTGCTGTGGCCAAGGTCAAAGAGGTTTTTGCCTGCTTTCTCCTCAAGGATTTTGATGGCTTTCTCTTATGTTTAGGTCTTTTATCCATTTCGAGTTTATTTTTGTGTATAAGAAATAATGTTTATTTTTCAGAGACCGCACTCATGAGAGAGGGGGAGGGGCAGAGAGAGAGGGCGACAGAGAATCTGAAGCAGGTTCTGTGCTGTCAGTGCAAAGCCCGACATGGGGCTTAAACTCACGAACTGTGAGATCATAACCTCAGCCAAAGTCGGATGCTCAACCAACTGAGCCACCCAGACACCCCTGGGGGGTAATCTTTCAGAAGGAATAATGTCCCAGATAATGTCCATGTGTAGTGTTATTTGCCACCTGCCCCACCAGTTCAACTAACCAAGATACTCCTAAACATAAAACAAAGAGGTGTGCTTAAGGACCTCTACCTCCCAATTTTCCATGACAAAGTAAGGTTCTCATAAGTCCTTCATATTTCTGAAAGTTCCATCCCAGCAGCTGGTCCTCCTGCTTCTCTCCAACACTCAGATGGAACACATAGCCCCATTTCTGCACAGCCCTAGGCAGCACTTAAGATTCAGTCTGTCTCATCCACTCCTAAGGTGTTAAAAAGCTTCAAGCGACGAACTTGGAAATGATATGAGAAATTCAGCACTGACAGTTCTGCTTCATCAAAAGGAATGGTAAAATTCTAAGGTTCTTCAGGGTTTAATAAGGAAGGGTTAATTATTCAAAGTTCACCTTTCAATTAAACTGCTAAGAAACCCAATCTTAATACAGAAGAGAGCCCATTAAATCTTATTAACCTTGACTATTAAATTCATATTCTAGCTCTCAGTAGCAAGGACATTTGAGATTCAGGCTTGCTGTGGCAACAGAAAGAGATATATTCCAATACCAACACTCACTGGGGTCCCCAGCATGGTATATGTCTTCCCAGAGCCTGTCTGCCCATAGGCAAAAAGGCATATGTTGTAGCCTTTGGCAGCTCCAGACAGTACTTCGGTTCCCAAATCTTGGAACACCTGTAACAACAAAAGTAAAAAGCATGTCATTAGAGTCCTTCCCATAGCATATTGAGGAACCATATCATTTTAAAATTTTCAATGTCTAGCCTTGTGCCCAACATACAGTAAGTGTGTTAAAACACATTTGAATGAATAAATTTTCCCTAGCAAACTTTTTCTGAAACTGAATTCATTCTTGTAAAATCATAGGGAATTAATAGTCATGTGTACTTGAAACACTTTATAATATTTTTGGATTAAAAAAACCCAGGGGTGGGGTGACTGGGAGGCTCAGTCAGTTAAGTGTCCAACTCTTAACTTGGGCTCAGGTCATGATCTCGTGGTTCAGAAGTTTGAGCCCTGCATTAGGCTCCATGTAGATGGTGCACAGCTTACTTGGGATTCTCTTGGAGTCTCCCTCCCTCTTCCTCTCTCTCTCTCTCTCTCAAAATAAATAAATAAACTTAAAAAAATAACCCTGGGGTGCCAGGTTGGCTCAGTTGGAAGAGCATGTGACTCCTAACTTCAGGGTTGTAAGTTCAAGCCCCATATTGGGTGTAGAAATAACTTAAATAAATAAAACTTAAAAAGAAATTAAAAAAAAAAAAAAATAACCCAGAGTAGTGACATATGGAATTGTTCAATCACTATATTGTACCCCTGAAACTAATATAATACTCTATGTTAACTAACTAGAATGAAAATAAAAACTTAAAAAAAAAAAAGCTGTATTTACAGTTCTTATCACACATAAAGGTTGAGGTAAGGTTGATACTATTTGTGGATCTATTTACCCATCCTCTCTCCAAACTTGTGGTAGTAGTATAGAAAAGTAGGGTTGGAGCTTATTATTTAAAGAGAGAGGATTCATGTAAAATATATTTTTTAGTAGGGCCTAACATTAGGGAAAGTTCTTAAAATGATTTCTCTTCCTCTAAACAGCTACCTATAGTTTAATTATTAAGAACACAGGCTTTGGGGGGTGACTGCGTGGCTCAGTCAGTTGAGCATCCAACTTTGGCTCAGGTCACAATCTCACGGTTCGTGAGTTCGAGCCCCACATTGGGTCCTGTGCTGACAGCTCAGAGCCTAGAGCCTGCTTCAGATTCTGTGTCTCCCTCTCTCTCTCTGCCCCCTCTCTGCTCATGTTCTGTGTCTCTCTCTCAAAAATAAACAAACATTTAAAAAAAATATTAAAAAAAAAAAGAACACAGGCTTTGGAACTTTCTAGGTTCAAAGCCTGGCTCCTTGGGCAAGTAACCTTACCTCAGTTTCCTCATCAATGAAACAGATTTTTAAAAAGCACCTAAGAATAGGTTAAGGGAACTCTGAAACAACATCAAGCATACTAACATTCACATTACATGAGGCTGAGAAGAAGAGAGAGAAAAAAAGGGACAGAAAATTTATTTGAAGAAATAACAGCTGAAAACTTCCCTAACCTGGATAAGAAAACAGACATCTAGGTCTCAGAGGCAAAGAGAGCCTGAAACAAGATGAACTCAAGGAGGTCCACACCAAGAGACATAATAATTAAAATGTAAAAAATTAGGGGCGCCTGGGTGGCTCAGTAGGTTGAGCCTCTGACTTTGGCTCAGGTCATGATCTCCTAGTCTGAGTTCGAGCCCCACATTGGGATCTGTGCTGACAGCTCAGAGCCTGGAACCTGCTTCGGATTCTGTGTCTCCCTCTCTCTCTGCCCCTCCCCTGCTCATGCTCTGTCTCCCTCTCTCTCAAAAATAAATAAACAGTAAAAAAAATTTTTTTTAATGTAAAAAATTAAATATAAAAAGACAATCTTAGGGAGCAAGAGAAGAGGGGCACCTGGGTGGGTCAGTCAGTTAAGATTTCAACTCTTGATCTCAGCTCAGGTCTTGATCTCAGGGCTGTGAGTTCAAGTCCCGCATTGGGCTCCATGCTGGGCATGAAGACTAGTTAAAAAAAAAAAAAAAGCTGGGGTAGCAATACTTACATCAGACAAAAAAAGACTTAAAGACTGTAACAATACACAAAGAACTACATTACATAATGATAAAGGGATCAATAAAATAAGAGGATATAACACTTATAAACATCTATGCACAGGGGCACCTAAATATATAACACAAATATTAGCAGACATAAAGGGAGAAGTTGACAGTAATATGCTAATAGTAGGAAATTATAACAACTGATTTACATCAATGGACAGACCATACAAACAGAAAATCAGTAAGAAAACAGCGGACTTGCATAACACATTAGACCAGATGGATGGCTACATGCAGAAGAATGAAACTGGACCACTTTCTTTTTTTAATAATTTTTTAATTCAAAAATTTTTTAAATTTAAATCCAAGTTAGTTAGCATACAGTGCAATAATGATTTCAGGAGTAGAATCCAGTGATTCATCCTCTACATATAACACCCAGTGCTCATCCCAACAACTGTCTTCTTTAATGCTTCTTGTTCATTTAGCCCATCCCCCCATGCATAACCCCTCCAGCAACCCTCAGTTTGTTCTATTTAAGAGTCTCTTATGGTTTGTCCCCCTCCCTGTTTTTATATTATTTTTGCTTCCCTTCCCTTATGTTCACCTGTTTTGTATCTTAAATTCCACGTATGAATGAAGTCATGATATTTGTCTTTCTCTAATTTCTTAGCATAATACCCTCTAGTTCCATCCATGTTGTTATAAATGGCAAGATTTCATTCTTATTGTCGAGGAATACTCCATTGTATATAGATACCACATCTTTATCCATTCATCCATCGATGGACATTTGGGCTCTTTCCCTACTTTGGGGTGTTATGCTAAGTGAAATAAGTCATACAGAGAAAGACAGATACCATATGTTTTCACTCTTATGTGGATCCTGAGAAACTTAACAGAAGACCATGGGGGAGCCA